TTTTTTCCTAAATTTAGTGTCTAGTAGAAAACGTAAAGATACTGAAATTGAACTACTATTATAGACCCTGTAACTTCCTTAGTACTCACACAAGAAGTTTCCACCTTAAGGGAAATAACACATAGACAATTGGACATCTAACTACGGGTTTCTGAACAGGTTTCATTACATGGCCATGGCAGACAATAGGCAAAGATACTTGCCTTTGCCTGATGACAGGTTGCCAGGAAGATGTCAAGCCCTGGCTTATCCAGAAGCTGTCCTCCTGGTTAACCCCTTGGAGCCCGAGTTGAAAGGAGAGGTGATAATTTTCATCAGTGCATAAATAAACATATAATTCTCTATGTAATTTGTTAAACAAAGCAATCATATAGGAATGAATAAAATTTTGGCTAAAAGAAATTCTCCAATGTAACTTAGGTTGATGACAAGTACCAATATTCATGTGATAACAAAGACAGCCAAGTCCATGGCTGGATTTTTACTAACCAACCAGGAGTAGGATTCTGGATGATCACACCAAGTAATGAGTTCCGTTCCGGTGGACCCGTCAAACAGAACTTAACCTCTCATGTCGGCCCCACAACCCTTGCTGTAAGAGCCCTGCCCCCCCCCCCCCCTTTTCTAAAGCTGAAATTTTCTTTTACAAGCCTGAAACCCCCAATGGGATGACAGTAAATCTGAATAGGATCGAACTCAATTTGATCATGATGAAAATGGTATGATCAGGTGTTTCTCAGTGCTCATTACTCTGGAGAAGACCTGGTGCCAAAATTCAGTGCCAGTGAGGCCTGGAAGAAAGTCTTTGGCCCTGTTTTTATCTATCTTAACACTGCAATGGAAGGAGATGACCCGCTTTCACTTTGGGAGGATGCTAAAGAACAGGTTTAGTTTGGACAATAGATTTTACAATTAGAATGTCTAAATCTGATAATCAATAATAACTTAATGGCTTTCAGATGATTACTGAAGTCCAGAGTTGGCCTTACACTTTCCCAGCTTCAGAGGATTTCCCTAAATCGGACCAACGGGGTAGTGTCAGCGGTAGGCTTCTTGTCCATGACAGGTAGATATGCAGATCCTTTTGGATCACTCTTTAGTCCTCTGGCAATTCAACTTTTATTTTACATTTTCTTTTCTTGTTTTTGTCGACTAAATTTGTCTAAATAGTATTCCAAAAGTAAAGCCCGTCCCTTCAAAAATTAAAATGACTTGACCACAAGATAACGCTGATTCGCTCTGTTCATATTATTGGTCTTAATTTTTTTTGTATGTTCGACGTTGTCGTAATTTGAATCTATCAATAAACTAAAATTTTAACATTTTACTAACAAATTATGCGAGTATTAGCTATATAGAAGGAGTAATTTCATTTTTGGGTGTGGGGCTAGGCTGTAAAAATAGAATGGTGAAAGGGAAGAAAATTTTGTTTATTTAAGGCATGTACATAAGTTCTCTTCATATTATGTAGCATAGCAAGCATAGGCAATTGATTAAATCATGTTCTCAGTTCATGGGATTATATTGTCCAGGTATATTAGTGATGACAACATACCAACCAATGGAGCTTACATAGGATTAGCTCCACCAGGAAATGCTGGCTCATGGCAAAGAGAATGCAAGGTGATTTTCTCAACCCTCCCATTAGACCATCAATTGCTCATGTAACCAATTAAGCCCATCTTGTACCATATGTAAAGTGTATGCCTCCCCTTTATAGCATGAAGTAGGAATACGAAGGAAATACAAGAAATTTTGTATATGTAAAATTAATTTCAGATAGAATCTGGAGTAAAGTTTCATATAATTATTCTTAAAAAATAACATTTAATATATTTATGGTTCAAATTTCAACACTTACAATCTATTTTTTTATTCTCGAAAATTAGCTTTTTTTTGTAAAAAAAGTTAATTTCAAACAAACACTTACATATAATAATAGGCCTGCTATTTTTCTAATAGGACTACCAATTTTGGACCAATACAGACGAAAATGGCTATTTTTTGATCAATGACATAAGAACCGGTGATTATAACCTTTATGCATGGGTTCCTGGTTTTATTGGAGATTATCGATCTGATGTTGTCATTACTATATCTCCAGGTACTTCGAATTTTTGTAAACTGTTTCAAGTTCTTTAAGGTTTGCAGGTATTGCAAGTGTTTTAATGTTGCCATGTTGGTATAATGTAATGCAGGTAGTGCTATTGATGTCGGTGATCTCATTTATGAACCTCCACGAAATGGACCTACATTGTGGGAAATAGGCATCCCTGATCGTTCTGCTGCCGAATTTTATGTCCCGGATCCTAATCCTAAGTACATCAACAAACTTTATGTCAACCATCCTGATAGGTTTGACTTCATTCTTTCTCCTGATTGGTGATGCGGTTTCAAATAATTTAATCCTGCGATTTTTTTTCCATTTTCAAATGCCATTCCACACTAATTTAGTAACTGCAATATTCATCTTTTTCTGTGGTTCTCAAAGGAGAATTCAAACGGGGTAGTAGGGCGTTCGTGGACAACCACAGCCCATAAATATTGGAAAACAAGCAAATTTGAAGGAAAAATTTTGTTGGATACCCCAAAATTTTTCACTCATCAATAAAATTGATAAATCCAATGGTAATTATATATATATATATATATATATATATATATTATAAGTTAACATCCTAAAAAAAAAAATCTGGATCCGCCATTGGTGGTTGTATTCTCAATTTTGTATAAAAACATTGTAGCAGCTCAACTTAAGAATGACCTCTGCAATTTGTAAATGCTTTCCCATAATGTGGGAGGTTAATAGATTCAACGCAAATTTTAAGCTTATAAATACCCTTCCTCTGGCAGGTTTAGACAATATGGACTGTGGGAAAGATATGCGGAATTATATCCTGATGGAGATCTAGTTTACTCAGTTGGCACTAGTGACTATAAAAAAGACTGGTTCTTTGCTCAAGTAACCAGGCAAGATTCTTTCAATATCATTGCAATTTCATTATCATTTTCAATTTGAAACTTTCATGTATGATTTTGATCTTTGTCCTTCCAATTTTTTGTTAGTTTTTGGCTAATACAGTAGTTCCATTCTTCTGTTACGTATCAAACTTTCATATCTTAGTTAACAATGTATCTTGCACTGCAGGAAGACCGATAAGAACAAGTATCAAGGAACCACATGGCAAATTAAATTCAAACTTGACAATGTAGATCAGAGTAATTCATATACACTACGAGTGGCGATTGCTTCTGCAACTCTATCCGAATTGCAGGTATGTAACTATCAAATTTTCAACTTGATACCAAATAGGATGGATTGGAATGGGAGTCTTCCAGCCAAACTCTAACATATTCACCATGCGAATTCACCCTGATACCAATGGATTTCTTGATCTATAGGTTCGGATTAATAATCCAAAAGCAAATCCTTTATTTTCAAGTGGCCTGTTCGGGCGGGACAACTCGATTGCAAGGCATGGAATTCATGGACTCTACTGGCTGTACAATGTAGATATACCTGCAAAACTGCTTGTCCAAGGTGACAACATTATCTTTCTGACGCAACCACGAAGCAGCAGTCCTTTTCAAGGGATTATGTATGATTACATCCGATTAGAAGGCCCCCCAACTTCAAGTTCCAAGAAAGAATATCTTCAGTACATTGTCATAGAAGATGGAATTGGATCATATCTTTGAATGTCTAATCAATGCTTTATTAAAGTAATATACATTTTTGCTTTAATAGATTGTCCAAAAAATGGTTTAAGAGTGGCAACATGTTTTATGCTTTATATCAGAAGCACTTAATAATTTTTTTTTAATTTTTATCGATAATTAAATTTTTTTTCATGGGCTGATCCAGATGCTTATCAGTTATCAGTTACCAAAATAGCCCACCTTTATTTAATTTCAATTAATTTATAATGGAAGCCATGTATCCCCTTGTTATTGCAACTAGCTTCTTGCAAAGAAACTCCAAAAGCTAAGCAATCTTTCTTGATTCGGGACATCGCAGAGGTTTCTTGCTGGCGGTGGTCGTCGAGTACTTCATCTCTTCCATGGCAAGTGCTCTAGCAAACTCTCTTTGAGACTGATGAGTGAATACTGAAAGGAAAAGGCGGTTCTATGAGAAAGTTTGACATTAGATGTCGTAGATAGTGTATTTTTTATTATATAAAATATTAAAATTTATGCATTTATATTATATTTTATATAAAATATATTTTTTAATTTTATTAAATTTATAATAATTATTAAAATTTTAAATTATTTTATTATTTTATTAATTTTTTTATAATGTTAGGGCGTCTTATGGCTTATGTCTATTTGACATGACCGAGTGTATACGTGGCAGCTTCCCGACACGCCAGGATTAGTTGTCTTTCCCTATGTTTTGTTTCAATGGGCGGCTCTTAGTTCCCAGCCCAAGGTAAGATGGACTCAAAGACTGATGACAGTATTTATCTCATCCGGCTCAAACCCAAAAATCTTGACAAGAAAACTTCAAAAATCCGACTTCCATATAAAGAACCCAGCCCACCCCCAATGACCCAATTCCATTCTTTCATGGAAAACAAACTTATTGATAAAAAAAAAATTGTAATTTCTTCTCTGTGAAAATAAAATTAATTTAAAAAGAATTTTCAAATAATAAAAACTTTGTTTTACCAATTTAAAAAAGAATTAATTTAATAAATCTAACAAGCAAATGGGCCGTAATTGGGGTCGGATCCGTCTAAGCACGAGGACCAACTCCAACCAATTCAACCGACGCTTTCCTAAAGAGAAAGAAGGCAGGGGCAAAAAAGTCATTTCATCTAGCCCAAGCTGTCGGTCTATATATACCCCCATTGACAAAATCTAGGGTTCTCCGCCCACTTTATTTTGCCCTTTACGAAACTGAACGTTAAACTCCTCGCATCTTCAAAGCTCCATCATTTCCTAGCGTCAACAATCCTCCTCAACGTTGCCTCCAAATTTTGTAATTTCTTCCTTCAAATTCAACTCCTAAATTAGGTTTTTCCTATTTTCATTTTTTAACATTTTCAATTCGACATTTGCAATTTTTTTCTTTTTTCTTTTGTGCAGATCGGGTGAACAATGGCGACGTTTGAGCTTTACCGGAGGTCAACGATCGGGATGTGCTTGACGGAGACTTTAGACGAGATGGTTTCAACCGGTACTCTCAGCCCTGAGTTCGCTATTCAGGTTCTCGTCCAGTTCGATAAGGTACTGTTAAAACCTTTTTCCGCTTTTCTTTTTCTTTAATTTATTTATTAATTTACTTTTTGTTTTTGTTAGTCTATGACTGAAGCCCTGGAAAGTCAAGTGAAGAGCAAGGTTAACATCAGTGTATGTTCTTTTTTTGAAGGAAAAAAAAGAGAAGCTTTTTGTTGATTTTGTGTGGTTTAAGGTGCTAGTTTTTTTCTAGAACTTTTTTTCTTTCTTGTGGGTGTTAATGTGTTTATTGATTGCATAAAGTGACGGTGATTTATGGCGGTGATCTGATGTTTCTATGCTAACTGTGGTGAGATATTTTGTTTTATCAAATGCTTAGTAATAATAAGTGCAGTGTTATAAGCGAAGCTGATAGTTTGATATGGTCCCTTTGATCTTCCCATCCTTGAAGAAAGACTAATTACGACTATTGATGAATGGTGAAAGACCCATGTATTTTTTTTTAGATGTGCAGGGATAAAATTCTAGCTGAATGTTGATTGTGCTACATTAATGGTACAAGAGTTTCGTATATGGTACCTGATTGTGGTAATTGGTTATTGTTTTTCTTCAATATGTATGAAATGCCTAGAATATGTTTTTAACACATTTTGGATTATTTAAGAATTTTGATGGAAAACGGTGTAACTTCTTGTTAACTTTTATAAAGAGTTACTTGTTGTTAAACACTACTCGTCTTGTTTCCAAAGTTTTCTCTAGGACCAATGTTGATGGTTTGGAGTGCAGGGTAATCACATCTCAATTCTATCTTCAAAGCCTCACTTCTTATGCAAAAATTTTGGGTTATTTTGATTTTAGTATAATTGCTAGAGAAATATCAGGGAACTGAAATAATAGATTGCTTGCTTCTTTGGTAAAGTTCCTTTTTTATCATTCATAAGTATGTATTTCCTTTTTGGTTAAATTTCCCCGGTTTCAATAGCAGTCAAAAACTGGTGATTGGTAATGCGTCCTTTGGCTGAACATCAGTATGTTTTCTGATTTGTGGTACTTTTCTTATACAGCTGAATTTTTAGCTGCATGCTGCTACTTGTTTTGGTCATTTATCATTTATAAATATGTTATTTGAGGGCTTCTATATTCTTAGTAAACAGCGGTCAGATCAACATGCCATCTGGCACCTGAGTGGTTATTCCTATTTGAATGTTGATCCTGTCTTGTATGTGCTACAGGGACATCTGCATACCTATAGATTTTGCGACAATGTTTGGACCTTCATCTTACAGAATGCTGTGTTTAAGAACGAGAATTCTCAGGAGAATATTGGTCGGGTGAAAATAGTAGCATGCGACTCAAAGCTGCTCTCACAATGAAATGGCAATCAGTGTTATGTCTGATGATGGTGGATTGACTGAGATTCGACGTATATTGTAAAGCCATCGACCTTTATCAGATGAATTTTTCTTTGTACTTCGTTGTATTTTTCTTTCTGATAACATAATGGACAATGGTGAAAATTTTAGGACAAAAGGATGGAACCTCTGTATTTATGACAATGGTTTCTATTCCCATATCAACGTATTTCAGTCTTGCACCACCTTGAATAGGCACGGGTGTTTGAAGTATCCACGTAATCAGTTGCCTTTTTGATCTTCCTTTCTTCGATTGAATTGATTTGTCCTCGTCCAGTCATTCTGTACATTTGTTGGGAAAGTTGAGCTTGAGATCCCGCATTAACATTTTTCATTGGTGTGCAATTTTATCATTGCAGCAAGAAACGTTTGGTTATCTATCTAGAACCAGTGAAGCGAAATTTTGAACTGAAATGCCCTCTTCAGGGGATACTTGGAGAAAAGAGGTGCTGAACTGTACAAAAGTCTGCAAAAAGCTAGCGAATATTATCTCCACTGCCTCTATGAAAGGCCGTTCTCTCTGCCCCCTGTTTCTATTGTTAATATTGGTAATGGTGATTTCAGACTCGCCAAAGTGCAGAGCTTTTGCTTTCTGAATTTCAAAGCATGGCTCTAACCCAGGCTTCAGGCATCTGATTCTCTTCCATCTTTTCCCCGAGTTTCCTTCTCTTAACGGAATTCCATCTCCTCTATAATTCCAGTAATAAAACCTTACCTCGAGTATCCTGGTTTTTCATCTACCTTACAATAAATAATAACAGAACTAACAAAGGGAAGATAGGGGAAAAAAAAAAGGAAACTAAATATTCTTAGCAAGAGCCGAACTGTGTCCTATATGATCATTTGAGGGGAGAGATTTCAAAAATTTTAGGACTTTTTTTTAGTTAATAGTAAAGTAATGGATTCCAACCATCAGAAAGTTTGAACCTTGAAAAGTGATCCCCCTTTCTGTTATATCATAAGCTGAATGGCAGTTTTGCAGGATAAGAAAAGGGTTACAGTTTCGCAGGGTCGCCATTCTCCTAATAAAAGATGCCCTTTAGAAGTATAATATATTGAATGGCAGTTGTCATATTAATTGAATTACTTTAACCTAGACTTCAGCTCACATCAACTGTGGACCATAGAGTTAGTGTTGAAGATTTATTAGCTATGGTCTCAATCATCAGATTTTCACTTTTAAAGATAATCCAGCGCTTATGTAGCTATCATATGATTAGACAAAAGAGAATTTAATGTCCATCACACATGGTCTTTCAAAACAATTAGGTTTCACTTTGTTACTAATTGCTATGGCGACCTCCGGTGGTGTAGATATTCCTCGAGCTCTTCATTTTCCGCTCGTTGATGGGATGCAACTTCAGGTTTTAAATTTCAATTTTGTAGGGATATAATTATCATTATTGGTTGTATTTTTGGTTGTTCTCCTAAAATAATTGTTCTTTTGATCCTTTGCTTTTCCGGATGTTCAAGTGGATACAATGCCAGAATTGAACTTCAGCTTAAAAACTGCACACAAGAACTTGGATTCTTCACTGGGGTTTTGTTTACCATGGGAATTCGCAAAGCCAGCTCTGAAAACCTTTCGAAAAATATCAATTCTATTTTTACATGGTCTGTTTGCTCATCAAACAATCTATTGAGATCCATATCTGTCTACAGGAACTGGTATATCCCCGGAGAACATTCTTCAGCGGCAAAATCTTATAAGCAAGGTGCATTGCAGACACCATTTGTGAAGGTGTATTTTCTGTTTTTGCCCTTTATGCTCTGTAGTTTATTTAGATGTTACTGTTCTCTGTTACAAATAAGAATTCATTGCTATTTTAAATTTTTAATTTGATGAAATTTATGTTTGAAACTACAGAACGCAGAGATATATGTTTTCAAAATTAAGTAGCGAGACCTTAAGATACATGTTATTGAATTTGTGTTCAAGGATGGAAGTCAAGACAGATGGTCAGGTTTACCTTTGGACCATCCCCGTCTTTTTTTGCTAGAGCTTTTGAGATGTTTGAAATTCTCATATAACTTTGCTTTCCAGGTTGAAACTAAATCATGGGAATTTCAGAGTTGACATTCCTGACTCTGATGGAAGTGTTCCTTTTCCATCTACACTGAAAAATCTTAAATCTAATTTTGGAAAGCAGAGCAGACCTCAAAGCTCGCCAGACCAGCAAAAGGTGGTTATGGTGCAAACAACTGAATTATCTTCTTGATCGCCTTAGTTTTGAATTTATGCACTGTTTTTCATTTCTTCGAGCTAGGAATCTAACAGTTGAATTGGTCATATGCTCTTTGCTATGTAGCCTCCCTTTTCTTTGCAGCTTGTAAAGTTTGGTTTTTAAGGAAATTCAAATCATAAAGTTATTGAAACTAGTGAAAATGTTATGCATGCACGTTCTGAATTTCCAAAAAGCTCTTCAACCCAGTAAACAATATGTTGTCTGAGTAATCTCAAATATTCTCAGCTGTTTATGTTACATTAAGACCAAAATTTGAAACCTTTTACTTTCTGAAGATCTTCTCCCGATCTAAATGTTGCCTGTGAAAATTTTCTCACTTTTTTGCAACTGTTATCATTTCCTTCTCATCTGTATATCACAATTTTCTTGTCCTACTTTGCTCTCACAACTATTTGCTATTTAGCTTAGGCGGCCAATGAGGTGGGTGCTATTGCTACATCAGCCAGTATCAAGTGTTCCCAGTCTAGGTGCTTATATATCATTGTTTGCATTGGTGTAGCGAGATTATGCGGATGCTTTAACTAAGCTGCAAAATCAACTGTCCAAGGGAATATCTTTGAATGAGTTACAGTGTAGCTATATTAATAAGAGTACAAAAACGAAAGCCTAGGATGATATAGAGCCATCTAGGTGTCGCACAGTACACCATCATCTTACCATAGAAAAGATGTTGAGAAGTGGTTGTGAAGGCAGTCTAAAGGGCATGAGAACAAGACTGATCAGTCTTCATCAACTTTGATGGATCTTGTGAAGAAATCAGTTGGAGGAAATAATGTGGTCTCAAAGCAAAATTATTTTGTTGGCAACTATGAAATAGTGGTTAGTCTTCCTGCAATATTTTATTTTGTTGAATGAGAGTAAACATGTTGATGAGCATTGCCATGGTTTGAGTCCGCTTCATTTATTTATTTAATTCAGCAAAGGACATTGATTTGATGATAAGTCGGTCAGCTCATATTCTTTTACCATTAATTATTGAATTGGATACTTATTACCATCTATAGAAGTAAGACCAACTTCTAATCTCTCTGGAACAAGAGTTCCTATTTGCTTTTGGTATCTTATTCATCTTTTTTGTTTTCAGGTCCTCTCTAAAGTTGTAACCGGTAATGTCACATATTGGTTGCTTTGAACGTGAAAGGCACTGCAGTTCTTCAAGGGGAATGTCAAAGTCATCAGCTGGTGAATGTTTGGTGAGATACTTGGTCCTTCATTTAGTAGGAGATACTTGCTCATGAAGTCCACTGACACTGGAATTTTCCACCTGTCTTATGCTTGCAAATCTTATTTCAGCTCACTGCCTACTTTCATCACTAATTCCAGGCTCCTCCATCAGATATGTTGCCTGAAAAGTAAAAAATGGTTATTGGAGCATGTCAGACTTATTTTTTAGAGATATATCAAGTACAGAAGGATCCTTTCAGGAAATTTGTTCAAAGCAGTTTTCCATGAGTCCTTGTGCTTGCTAAAATGTTGTATTGATTAACCCTACCCTCACCCCCTGGAAAAAAAGTTGGTGGATGTTAATTTGCAGCAGAGGAAGTTTGCTGGTATTCAATTTGCGATCTGGTCTGGCGGATCTTGGATACGACCTATTCTGCCAACCGGGAAGATAATATTATTATCCTGGACTGAATGATAGCTTATATTTTATCAGTGTATTTTAAACATATCATTATGAAAGGTACCTTACTTTTTGCCATTGATGTATGGATATACAAACTGCAAATGCACTCTGAGAAGTTTTTTTTTGTGGTCTCTAATGAAGCAGTAGCATGGTTAAGGTACAATGCTTGATTTCCCCACTCTTAAGTTTGGTTGCTCAATTTCAGAGTTTTCTTTTGTCATGAAACCAGTCAAATGATACAAGAAAATTTGTCAAATAGTTGTTACTGTTTGTGTATATTGCCACTTGCCTTATTTCATTACCAAAGATGCTGTTAAAAAGACATTTGTCCTTTATAGCATCTATGGAAGGATAGAATATCCATGAGACAAAAGCTATTATGGTTGCTCCATGTTTGCCATCAAAGTTGTGAATGAATGGCTTAAACCGTGGGATGTTATACTTTGATGATGCTAGTAGTCATATAAATATTTCATATGGAAAATGAAACTTGAGTGATGAGCAGTTGACAATTGTCATGAAAACCATTATTTGAGACTGACTGCATTTGAACAGAATATTATCTAGTTTGCTGAAAGTAAAAGTACTGAAGTAATACTTATGGATTCGACTAGTTTGTTGAGGAAAAATAAAGCTCAAATATGCTTATTTTTGTGACTGTGTTAAAATAGTCACACTTTCACGCTGAAGAATATGAAGAAGTAATATGCTCCTTGTTTGAGTTAATTATCTCTTGTTAGTCATACAGCTTTTTCTTTATTTAACCAATACATAAGATCACAGACATTTGGAGAACCTTTTTTTTTTTTTTTGGCAGGTTGATGGGTATGGTAAAGTAATTGTCAAATGGTTGCTTGATGAAATATCCCAAAGTGAAAAGGAGGCTGATAGGTCCTTGATGCATCTATATCTTTTACAAGTAATGCCATTTTGGAAACGTCGTGACAATGTCTCAGCATCTTATAACAATTGAGATCTTAGGGTCTTGCTGATCTGTTTCTTTACCTTGATTTTATTGCTAAATGTGCTTGCTCACATACTCAACTGTCACAGGTTCAATATTGCAAAGGAGTTGCTTTAAAGCTGAAGGACATATAGGGCTTATTGGTATATTAGTCTGGATGAGGTTCATCATATGCAGGCATCTTACATGCAACAGGAACTATAATGTAAAACCTTGGTGAAATATGCTTTTTTAACCGTAAATCAGATCTTATAAATCTATTATTATACAAATTTAGAAAAGTTGATTTGAAGTTGTATTGAATTTGCATATATAATCTACAGCATATATAAGTAGTATTAGCCTATTAAGTTGGTATCTCACTGCTTAGTTTGCGGTGAAATTAGTGAAGCTCAAAACATGTTTCCCAATTTACTGCAGAAAACGTTTTTGAACCAGCTAAATGACCGAGAGATTGTGAGGCTAATAATGGCATTTGTTGGTCGCGGAGGTCAAGGTGATGCTGGGCAGAGAATTTGTGATGAAATACTAATGATTCAGGTACGTCAAATTTGTCTTACAGAAATGGCTTGTGCATCGACTTGCAAAACTAATTCTGCTGCTTGTACATTAGAGAAATATTGATTGCAAAAGCGGATAAACATACCAGATTCATATGTAATTAGCTTTTGTTTCTAAGTTCCTCTTATCAAAGTTTTAGGAGGCTAAAGACAAAAAAAAAAAAATTGCAATAACCTCTACAGGTTACAGGTTACAGGTTACAGGTTATGCAAGCAAGCAAGCAAATATGAATATACTTTAAGCCGTTTATCATTTTTCGTTCTAACTCAAATGGTGAAGACTTTGAGGGATCTGCAGGGGCCGGGCTTTATGATAGGTTTGTTCTGAACTGAATGTTGGACTATGCTTTGCAAAGAACAAAAGGATTATAAAGTTGATTCTTTGTATTCATGGACTGGCATGTTCAATATTGGAGAATTACCTCCTTAGGTCTTACATCCAGAGGATTTTCCAAACAAAGTTATTCTAGCCAACAAACCAATCCATCATGTTAGCGAAAGGGGTGATCTTGATTGTATATTATTGATTAGGGATCCATTTGGATATATGCTTGGATGAAAACGCAGCGGTGGCAGGAAGCTTATCAAATTTTCCTTGACCTAGGCTTTGTTATGCTTTTGCTTCACATGTTTTCTTTCAAAAAAAAAAAGTGCCTTCTAATTCGCATTTCTTAGATATCTCAGTGTACTTATGGATGATGAGGAAAGCCCGGTTTTGGATTACTCTAGCAATCCAATGACAGTTGACAAAGCTTTCCAGACTTGGGAAAATTATAGAAACCCTTATGGTTGTCCCCAGGACAGTGAAGGAGTAAAAGATGGAATGATATATGTGGTTCAGGCAAGACGACAGATCTGATATTCATGAGCATCCTGTAATCAATCCCCCAACTTTGTTATAGCATCTATCAAATTGAACTTCACAAGCTGATGTAAAGTCATGAAATTCTAATCCAACCAGGATGACATGTTACTCCTTGATTTGTTTTCAGCATCTTTTAAATGTATTCAGTTTTTTGCCATTTTTATCAGTAAACATATATATTGATTTCCATAAATCTATGGAATTTGAGATGATCAGCAATGGTGAAACTATAAATGCAAGAAAATTCCTTATGATAGTACAGAATATTTCACTTGCTGGTTTAGAGATAACCAAAACAGCAAAAATAATTGACAAACTTTATAATCTAATGTTCCAATTATTTGTTATTTACAGCTCCAATGGTGAAATACAAAAAAGCAACTTCTGAGAAAAAAAAAAAAAGAGAAAAGAAATGAAGTTATTGCCACAGTCTTTTGATTTGAGTTGTCTCAGAAACGTGTTTCAATTTGAAAGCTAAATTTGAAATTTGATGTTCCCTTGATAGTGTCTTACAATTTTCAAGCATATTATGATTCGATTCCATATTGTATTGTGGTTAGTATTAATTAATAATAATATAATAATAAAAATATCTTGATGTTTGTTAGATTTAACAAAACTAAAGGTTCACAGACAAGCTTGAGTTCATAAAATTCAAACGAGAAAATAATTTAGACAGATAAAAAATGTCATGTCTTTTCAAAAATATCTTTTGTACATCATTTGCTCTTGTTAGACGAACATGTATTTATATTCAGCCCATAACATTCAGTTCACATATAAAAGTCTCGATGTAGAAGGTTGAAAGCTAAATCCGAACACATTCTGAGCTATTTTTTCCAATTCACCTTTTCTTCCTTTTCCATTTACTTGTATTGAACATCAAAACATGCTTTGGAATCCCTACTTAAGCTTCCCTTTGACCTTTCCTTCGTTTACAAGTTGAATGTGCCTCCTCTAAAATTCCACCTCACCTATTCAGAAAATACCTTAACAATATTAATATTAATAATAATAATATTATTATTATTATAAATTAAGTGGATTAAGTTAGATCAAACTTTTGTTATTAATATAATATGTTAATAATTTTTTATAAAAGAGATACAAGCCCAATTAAATTTTACATTGGGCCAAACCCATGTCATAACAATATCACGCATAATCAAAAAAATAAATTAAAAGATAGACGAAATAATTTATGTCATCGTGTTTAATAAAATATTAATTTACGTTATATTTTACGTAAAAAATATATATTATATTGATATAAAAATAAAAAATATAATTTTTTTATTTTATCAAACTTATTTATGATTTTTTAAAAGTTTTAATCGTATTATTTATTCATTTTATTTTTATATCATATTTTAAATTATTATATCTATTAAAAGATTAATTCGTAATTAGTAACGTAAAAAACTGTTTTCGTTCTGATTTGTAGGAGGAATTTCTCGTAATAAAACCGAAAACTGAATTTCAAATATTCTTTTACGAACATATTGAGCCTTTTACTATAAAATAAACAAATCAATTAAATTGACTTGAACATTGTGATTTGTTTTTTTTTTTGTTTTCCATTTTTTCCCACAACAGTAAAGTCTTATATTTATAAAAGATAATAACTTAAATATTAAATATATTTAATTAAAAATATAAAATTAAATTTAACTTAGGAATTTTTTTATATAAAAAATAGAATTTAAAATTATTTAAATTCGGATCCAAATATTAAAACAGATTATAACTTATTTTCCAATCAATGATCAATATATTGTTGACAATAACTTTAATAATTATTACTCTAATAAGAAAAGGTTTAGTTCAAAGTTTCAATTCTCACTTTCTTTCTATCTTCATATTTATGAAAACGAATTGTAATTATTACATTCAATCTAAAAATGTAAATGATATATTAGTATTCGTAAGTTATTTGGATTCGATTTGAAAAAAATTTTAATTCAGTTCGATTATTATCGAGTTGAACTCGAATAATTCGACTTATTAATCGAATTGAATTCGAATATTCTTATATCCGATTCGAGTAACTCGCGAGCTTAATCGAATTTTTATATTTAAATATATTTTTATTATTTTAATTAATAAAATATTTTAAATCTGAGTTCGAATTTGAATTCAAACATAAATAATTAAATTTTTATCGAGTATATTAATCGAGTTTATTTTTACATATTATCGAATTTAATCGAACGAATTCGAGTAATTCAAATTCGATTACGAATCGAATCCGAATTTAAAAAATAAAATTCGATCGAGTTCGAATCAAATATCAAATTCTAAATTATGAGTCAACTTCAAACTTTTCACTATATCAATTTAACTTAATTCGATTACTCCTCCAATCAAATCTTCAATTTCGTCCCAGAAATGGCTTTTAGGCCAAGTCTTATGTTGTTTCCTTTCTTCGTCTTCTGCACGTCAAGGGAACTTTCCACAACTTGTTAGAAAAGTTGTGCTTTTAATATTTGGTGACTTTTGCTTGAATATCTACAACTTTTTTCGGTATAGATGGGACTTTTTCTTTGCATTCACTTTCAGCTATTGGGACCCAATAGAAAAAAACAGTCGAACCAAAAAAAAGGAAAAAAAAAAGGGGGTAAAGATGGAAGAAACTTCTTGTCAATAGAATATTCGGCTGTCTAACGTTTTTTTGGGCATTTGCTCGTCTCGTGTAAGTCCATGTTTGGTGGATCGAACCAAAACACATTCTTTATAGCTTGGAACAAGCATTTGTAACAAACAAGGCCTAGTGTTTTTTTTTCTCCAAATTCGTCGAGATCTTAAGAATAAAATGAAAAACATAATTTTAAAAAATGTTTTTGTGTGCGTGTGTGAATTTGGATTAAATCTACGTTCTTAAAGGTGCCAGCCCCGAAGAAAAACATAGCATTATTTTTACACAATTTCCAACTGTCATGTAAGGTTGGTAATAATATTTAAATTAGTTTAAGTTTTGATTCGATTTAATTTTATAAAATTAATTTTTTAATAAGATTTTAAATTGGATTAATTTTTTTATAAATAAATTTAGAATTAGATTTTAAGTTAACCATCTATTCGATTTGATATATAAAAATAAAATTTTATTGTTTATTTAAATTTTAATTTTTTATATGTATATTATATCAATAAAATTATTATGTAATTTTAAATTTAAGATATTAATTTAATAAAAATATTATATTTATATATAATTAAGATATAATTATATTAAAAATAATATTTTATAAATATTATATTAAATTAATTTTAAATTAAATCAAATTAATTATAATTTTATATTATATAAGTTAAATTGAATAAAAATAAAATTTTAATATTAAATTATATTAAATTTAAATATTTATTTTTAAAATCATACCAAATTTAAAACGAATAAAATCCGTCGGACAGGACCCGTTCCCATTAGTACTGCAATCTGTGAGCTGTGTGGCGCATGCAATAGTTAATGTGTCAAGTCTAGAGGGAGTGTCCTTGGCAATGGCACCTGGCATAATTAAGTCAGTTGGGCATTTTTATGGGATTGGACGTCAAACTTTGTCCATTTGGGAGGCTTGTGTTCCAACGCAAAAGCCAACTTTATGGTGGCTTTTTTTTTTTTTTTTTTTTTGAGAAATTGTGCTTATCTTTACCGCTTTACAAAAATCAAAATTAAAAAAAAAATCTGGAGCAAATTAGTAGACAAAGATTAAGAGTCAATATCGAAAGTTCATACTACAACGTTGGCTGAAATAATTTTTACCGTACAATCAAACAAAACTTAATATCTTGTTTGACAAAAGATCATAATAAATAGAGTCGAGACACATTTACGCTCCTCCTAACTTTGACTGAATTTTTTAATTATTTTATTTTATTTTATTTTATTTTGATTTAATATCGAATTATTATTTTTTGCTGCTTAAAAATTTTCCAAAATTTAGTTCCAAATAAATTGCCCCCAGGCTCCTATATTTTCCAACATTTGACTAATCATAGCTGTAAAAGCACCAACATGAAACCCACTCTCATGGTAAAGTTACTAAACTGTAACCAGATTCCATTGATTAAAGTTACTGTTGAGGTTAGCTTTAGACCATGCCGACCACGACTTTAGTCAAAAAAAAAAAAGAGAACTGCAAGGATTTTTTTTTAACATGTCATATAAATAAAAAGTACTATGTTTTTTTTTCCAATCAAGTATTATATATTTTTAAAAATATTATTGTTTCAAACATTTTAATTTTATTAAAAATTTAATATGTGTTTATTATACTAATTTTATTAATTTAAAAATTAGTTGGTAGAATATAAGAATTTCAGTGATTGTGAATTGAATAATTAAAAAAAAAACTATATTGTTTTGTTGACTTTAGAAATTATTTTTTAGATTATAAATCAAATTTGTTTGGACTTTGGGTTTGAATCTATTAATTTTTGAGCCATGGGTTTCTTAGTGTTGTAAAGAATTCTTTATTCAAGCTTATTTATGCGAAAAGTTGTTAGATATTAGGCCATCAATTTTTTAATCAATTGAGTTTTTGTAACATAGCAATAAAAAATATTAAAAATAAATTGAATTAAATATATGAAATATTTATTGTGGATTCAAAAGATAATAAAAGATAATGTATATTATTATAAATGTTTTGTTTTACTAATTTTCAAAATATTATGTACGCAAATTTTTGATAAAAAATATAAATTCATTGATGCTTATTAAATAAAATAAAATTATTAATAATTCAAATTTCACTTGACTTATTTACCTTACCTATAACTCATAATTTGTCATGTTCATGGGCCAAGTTTGATTTAACTTTTAGACTAGTAATTCTAGGTTTCGCTTTGACATTGTGAATAAATGTGTTTATAATTCGATTTTAGTCGAATTAATTGATTTAATTTAATTAATTAATTTTAATTGATTAATACAAATAATTTTATAAAATTTTAAATTTTTATTAATTTGATTGAAATTTGAATTAATTGAATAAATCAAAATTTTAATTGAAATATAAAAAATATATAAATTTGATTATTTTATTTTATAAGTTGTTAAAATTTTTAATATAATACTTTGATATTTGAATATTTTGTTGGATAAATTTGTTTAATTTATTTAAAATATGAGAAATTAAAAGTTAAAAATATAATTTAATTTAAATATATTTATTATTTATTTAATTAAAAATTTAATCAAATCGATTGAATT